CAACACTGACAAGTGCAAGGTGATGCACCTGGGGAGGAAGAACCAGCAGCAAACCTACAGGCTGGGGAGCTCCCTTCTCGTCAGTGCAGAGGCAGAAAAGGATCCTGGAGTCGTCATTGATTCCAAGATGAACATGGGCTGCCAATGTGGGGACGTGGTCAGGAAGGCCAACCGCACGTTGTCATGCATCCATAGATGCATCACAAGCAGGTCCAGGGAGGTGATCCTCCCCCTCTATGCGGCACTGGTCAGGGTGCAGTTGGAGAACTGCGTCCAGTCCTGGGCACTGCACTTCAGGAGGGATGTGGACAACATGGAGAGAGTCCAGAGGAGGGCCACCCACATGATCAAGGGGCAGCAGGGCAGGCCCTATGAGGAGAGGCTACAGGACCTGAAGCTGTTCAGCCTCCACAAGAGAAGGCTGAGAGAGGATCTGGTGGCTGCCTGTAAACTTGCCAAGGGGGACCAGCAGGCAATGGGAGAGACCCTGTTCCCCCAAGGACTACTGGGAGTAACAAGGAATAACGGCCATAAGTTGACTGAGAGTACATTCAGGCTAGATATCAGGACGCGCTACTTCACAGTCATGGTGGCTAGGAGCTGGAACCAACTTCCAAGGGAACTGGTGCTCACCCCTACCGTGGGGGTCTTCAAAAGGAGGCTAGACAATCACCCGGCTGGGGTCATTTGACCCCAGCATCCTTTCCTACCCATGGCAGGGGGTTGGACTTGATGATCTGCTTAGGTCCCTTCCGACCCTACCAACTATGAAACTATGAAATGAGGCAAGTCGAAACACTTCGAAATTTTCTAAATGTTTTAAGTTTCGAAGCTCAAGCTGGGCTTGCCTGCAGAGAAACAGAAACTAAAGTAAGGAGAGGGAAGGGGAAGAGGGTGCAGGGCCCCAGAACCCAAAGCCCCTGCACCTATCTCCTTGAAAGCTGGCAGGCTTCGTGGCCTCAGCAGGGGCTAGCATGCCTGTAGTTTTGACCCCACTGTGGCTTAACACATACACGTGACATGAGTTTTCTGCTTTGAAGACTGTGCAGGTTCCCTGAAACGCCTGCACCTATCTCCTTGAAACTTGGCAGGCTTCATGCCCTCAGAAGGCGCTACCATTCCAGCAAGATTCATCCAAATCAGGCCAGAAATGACCAAGTTATAGGCTGTTTCAGGCTTCCCCATTATAACCTACAGGCAAAACTTTGAAACAGCGTCGAAACAGAACAGAGGTTTTGAATTGAAACAAAATTTGAAACGAAGCACTGTTCTGTCAAAACGCAAGTTGAAACTGAATGGTGCTGTTTCGCACAGCCCTAATGTCTTCCTCTCACATCTACAAAACATTACTTTAAAAGTCAAGTCTTATTTATTTTCTCTCTTTCTCTCCTATAAATCAAGTAACTTCCTTGAGTTTTTTTGTCCTTCATTATCTTCTCTGCAGAAGTATCTTGGGATACTTACAGATGCAAGCAACAAATGTAAGGTGACCAAATTTTTAAAATCAAAAGCTAGCTGCTTTTATAGTGACATTTTTAGAGCAGGCAAAAGTACCCTTTTTGTTTGAAGAGTGTATTGGTGTCAATACTGTGAGCTTCTGAACACTTATGTTTGTATGGTACTCAGGGTGGAGGGTTTTTTTCCTAATAACTTAGTGTTCTGAATGTGTCTAAGAAAAGCACTAAACACGTCACTAATATTTACTTAGAGCAAAACTCCAGCTTTAATACCATCCTCATTCATTTGAGTTTTCTCTTCATGTCATTCATCACATTGAATACATTTAATTAACTAGTTCCTGGAAAACAGCAAGTTCTATCTAATACAATAAAGTTGAACAAACATTTCTAAGATTAAAAAAATGATTTTTCAGTGATAAAATAAAAACACTGGGGCATTTCAGGAGTCCTGATAGACGTTCCTATGGCTTAGGGACTTATTTTATGTTCCATTAACAGGATGAGAATTTAAAGTATTTTAAATCTACATTGTGAAAATAGTCCTGACTTTTTACTTTCCCATCTTTTCCCCAGCACCATCACAAACCCAGGTGGAAACTACAGCCTGCACTTCTTGAAAGGATGTTGCCAAATACTAGACCCTCCCACTTTTAATTGCAGTTGGACTACTAAATTATTTTGAACTAGGACTGGACATAAATAAGAAGCTGGAATAGGATCTTGTCTCTGTGCTGGACTGGTGGAAAGAAAATAGAAGGGGCAAAACTTGGTTTAAGAAATATGCAATAGTTTGAACCTTGTTTTCCTCACATAAACATGCGACTCCTTTGACTTGAGCAGCATAACTCCTAAATTACACTAGGTAAGTAATAATAAGGTCAAACCCTCTTTCTGTGGATGAAGTTTTTGGTTATTAAATCATCCCAGAAAATAACATTACAACTACATAATGGGCCCAGCTGTTGTCTGATTCTCATCTGTCTTACATTAGTAGAAACAGAAGTGATGGAGTTGTTCAAATATAAAACTGGTGTAAATAAGACATTCCAATCCAAAGCATTTGGGAGCTGTTTAGTTTTGCTTCATAATTTTTGCTAGTATTCAAAATGGCATCCATTCTCACCATATTTCTTCTCTTTATAATATTGAAACCAAAATGACATTTTTACTATACCAAGATAATGGTGTTGCCTGCCCTTTGAACTCTATGTAGCAGAACCCTTCTGGCTCTGACCAAATGATGGTAACTATATAAATGAAAATATCCAGTTGTGAATGAGTATAAATTTATCTGTCAGATGAGACTGCAGATACAAGTCCTTGCATTCCCACTACTTGTTCCTTTGCTAATAAAATCCTACCGTTCAGGTCACTAACAAGAATAAGTCCAAGGAAATGAATGGAGTTAAAAATGTTGTAAACCCAGTGGAAAAGGAGATCAGAACTATGCAAATTATGCAAATCTGCCAGGTTCTCTTTTTGGGGAGAGCTTCTTAGTTTTATTTTTCTCATTCAGCTGTATATACTTGATTAAATAATATTATGATTAAATTGACTAAGGAAAATAAATATGTTGTGCCTTTGTAACATAACTTTTGTATATTTATAACGATCTGATTCTTTTATTTGATAATGAAAAACATGTTGATTACCCTTTGTTCACTATTTTCATAAAAAAGAAATGAAAAGTATTTGGCATGATTTAAGCTGTGTTACTTTCCGGTCCTTAGTTACACCACAACGTTTTGAATTTGAAAATATTTTCAGGTGTTATTTTTAAAGCATTAAACATTAAATTGTGTTATTTCCCTTTTTTTAACTGCAGCATATATTCCTGCAGTTTAAGACTGTCAATGTCAAAGACCTAACTACAAAGCTGACATGAAGAATTTAAACGTGAAAATATCAGGAAGTTCTCAGTTGAGGCTCCCATGCCAACCTTAACTCATGTGCGCATGGAATAAGCAAACCTATTCTGCTAAAATAAGAAATTCTTTTACTTTCCACCTAACCAGGTGAGAAACTGCTTTGGCAATCCTCAATTAAATTCTTACCTATACTGTGTCTGTGGCAAAGAATTTAGGCCACTGCTGCTAAAACTGACTTTTATCGAACTTTTGACAATCCCTTCTTATTCCAGGCTCCCTAGAAAGGGTATCAATGTTTGGTAAAACTGAGGGGAGAGAGAGAGAGTGCATAAAAGTAACAATGTTTATTAACATTTGTCCCCAAAATGGGACAGCGAATGTTAATGTTGCTCACTCTGGTATCATGAGATTTGCAGTAAAATCACAAGACAACTTCCTTAAAGTTCCTCTTGGTGGAATGAGATTTGCATGAGAATCTCAGCTTTCATCTTTTAAGAAAAGGTAAGTTTCTGCCCTTAACGGTTACAGATAAATTGCTAAAAATTTTAAACAAGGAAACCTTAGTGACACCAGAAGGAAGCTACACACTGTTTTTATCCCATGATTTCCAAGCCTTTCTCATGACTTTAGAGGGGTCTGGATCGAGATTTTTTTTTTAATTCAGAGTTGAAAATTTTGAAATGCAGAAATATGTACCCTTAAAATCCAATTAAACAAAAGCGTTACCTCTAGCTATATAGAAAATTAAAGCCAAATCTGCTCCTAAATCTCTCTCCTATCTAGTGGTGGGACCTGTGACAAGAGATGACCCTCCTCCAAATTTCCCTGATCATATATCTTTTCCTAGCAATAACAAAGCTATACTATGTGCAGGAACCCAGAGGCAACCTCTTCCTGCCAGCATCCTCCAGCCAGATTCAGTCTTTTCAAATGGTTACCCTTCAGTTGACTGCAATTCTAACCCTGATTTCCAAGTCTTCTGTGCCACTGAAAGCAGATGGGATGTAATACTTTTAAGAAATGGTTCCTGTTTAGAATGAGAGAGTAATCTTTCTACCACCTGGGTGATTTGACACATTTCCTCATTTGGCAAGATTTCTACAAGGACAAGACCCCAAAGTAATTATGTGGGAGGTGCGAGGAGGGAGACTATGGGACCTTCATGTCAGCAAAGAAATCGGGTTCCTGAGGTTCAGTACCTCAAAGTCAGGAAATCTAGTAAGACAGTGCAGATTACTGACGTAAGTATGGCAAGTTTAGCCTTGTTAGGACTGTCAGCCTTCGGACACTTCTCTCATGGGGAAAACTTAACAATTTAAGCAAGGAGAGTTCAGGTACTATATCTGCCACTGAACCCTCCTGCCAGCTTTCCTAGTTTTCTAATTGGTTTTGTATTTCTTTCAAAGAAAAAAGAAAAAAACCCTGTTTTTGTCCTAAGCCACACCAACCCTCTACAACTAAAAAAAATGCAAAGACATGATTGTAAAACCACAAAAGCCTGCATTCAGATTCACAACCAGGTACAGTGCTGGAAGCTGCATTTTAATTTTAATGGTTTAATTTTTAATTTTCATTAAATTTGATTGCATTTCCAGTATGAGACCACAATATCAAAAGAAGGCATTCTTGCCCATTAGTTCATAGATTCATAGACATTAGACTTGAAAGGGACCTTGAAGATCATGAAGTCCAGCCTTCTGCCCCAGGGGCAGGAAGTCAGCTAGGGTCAAAGGATCCCAGCAAGATAAGTATCCAAACATTTCTTGAATGAGTCCAGAGTATGTGCCTGCACCACTCCTGGAGGGAGTCTATTCCAGGCCTTGGGGGCTCGGACAGTAAAGAAATTTTTCCTTATGTCCAGCCTAAAATGGTCTTGCAGGAGTTTGTGACTGTTGGACCTTGTTATCTCTCGGGGCGCTCT